GGGGGGCTTTTGAAGCTGTCTAGTGTCAACAAGGATCCTGTTCCTGCGTTAGCCTGCAATAATTGTCTGCTAGCCACACTGGACCCCCGGCCTCACACGCTGCGATTGCGTGGATGTATATACGTGTGTGTGTGTGTGTGTGTGTAACGACGAGATGGAATCAGGTTCTCGTCAATTAATTTTTGGACATGGTGGAGTTATTGGTATGATCTTAAAATTTGTTCTGTTGTCTTGCTCTAGTTGAAAATAAAATACCCATCTATCTTGGATAGGAGTCGAGATATTTGCGACTGAAGAAAGAGAAGTTTGCTTGGTTTCAGAGGTAAATTTGCGAGAAAAGGGCCACCAAAGTTTGGTAACTTTCATAGTATGAAAGTCCTTGAAAACTGAAAATTTACATTTTGTGCGCCTTTAATTAAAAATTGTCAGTATAATCTACACATGAATGTCGTGTTTTAATGGGCATGAAAGGTGCTCAGCCAAAAAAACCCTCCAAAACAACAACATCAACAACAACCAAAAATCGATAAAAAATCGATAAAAACTCGGTAAAAATTCCCAAACCTCCCGAAAAATGCAAGTTTCTACATTTTCATGATTTTAACGAGCGCCTGATTTCACCACGATGCCTGATAATAAAATAGTATGATTGGTGGAGAGAAGCGCCTCGGAAGTAAGTCGCTGGTGTCGCACACTTCGGACACCGCGCGGAGATGAAAGGAGGAAAAACTTTGCCGTTACGTGTGAGAAGTCAGAACCTGATCCAACCGACTGTTGTTGTCTCTGGGCTTAAGTCAAGGCCAGTCAAAGGCCCGAGGACACACTTTCTGGGAGGGGAAGACAAAGAAACGGATCAAGATACAGTAAGAGTTTAATCCCAGCAGTTGAGCCGCTATTCAATCGGGGTTTTTTTCTTCAGTTTCCTCGTAGAATAGAGGGCGAGTTCACTGGAGTTAGCTTCTCAACCCTATCCGTACGCCCTGGAGTCATTTTGTACCCCCGGGGTTGTATTCTTCGCCCTTTAGAATATTTCAAGTACGAAGATCTCTTTGAAACTTTCTGTATTTCGCACAAAAATCATTTTGAGAGACTGTTATGCAAAAGCGTACGGATCGGATTAACAAGTAAATTTCCTCTTTGGAAAGGTTGGCTCGTCGTATGGATACGATAGTAAAACACGACGTACGGATAGGGTTAAGTAATTATATTCAATAAACCAGACGCAGGTCAGGTAGTCACATAGGTAGAGCCTCTAAAATAACAGAAGATAAATATTTTTTAGAAATTGCCCTGAACATCAGCGAAGTCAAGAAGAAAGCCCCCCCCCTCCCCCTCCCTGCTCCCAATATCTATATCCATTTTCCCCAAACAGAAACGGAAACAAAGAAAGAAGAGAAGAACCTACCAACCTACCTAACAACCTACCTACCGTCCTACCCATCTACGCTACCAACCAATCAAACCACTTATCTCCCTACATCACTCCCTCCTCCCAACTATCAAAGAAACCCTGAGAAATCATAATATCCCAACTGAAAGAGCCACGGAGCTGGCCTACCATAGAAAACTGCATCTCCCCTCGATTCTGAACGGCAACAGAGGATGAATATGTTAAAAGTAAATAGGTAAGCGCACGACGCTTATCGGAACACCCAGACGAGACGTCTAAAATAAAAATAACTATGTCTGGTTCCCAGTCCATTCTGATGAACTTCTGTACACCATTGGACAAGCAATCTGACACCTTCATATAATAATGAGACCACAACAGCCAGCAGAAACGGCCTTGACCATCAATAATCTATTTATAGAGACACCAGCCATCCATGTCCAGGTGCAGTTCTAGTCGACCTAACAGACCCACAACATGAGATACAATTGATCTACGCAAGAGTCATCATCATCAATGTCTTCCACCCCTGGCAGGGTATAGGCCACATACAAGCTCCTTGCATTTATCTCTGTCCTGAGCCATCCTTCCAAGCACGTTCCAAGTGAGCTTCATCTCTCTCATGTCCCTTTCCAAGCAAGAGTACGACCGAGAAAAAGACAGGTGGACGGAGTCAAAGAAAGCCCCCCTCCCACCTAAAGGAACGACATGACATCCCAAAAAGGCAGCACACCCGGCCCATGTATGACAACTGTATCTCCTGACTGTTTTGTTTTTGTTTTGTAAGGTTTTACGGCGCTCGCATCTTCATAAGGTCATATGAGCGCCAAGGGGTGGATGCCAACAGAGAAGTCCAAACAGGGAATCAGGCTTACTCTGCTCACCTCTCTAGCCTCAACAGCACAAAGTCTGCTTCGACTATCAAGGCACCCCCGGAAATAGCAGTTCTCAAGAGAGTGACAAACATACAAAAGTAGTAGAGGAAACATAACGATAGTAAGGATGAGGAAAGAAAAAAGCAGCAGTTCCCCCTATGTTGTTCCAGCACAGTATGAGCATGACATTGATAAATCAGCCCATTCACAAGTCTACTGTGTCGCGACATCTCGCTATACACAAAGACAGAAATAAAAGTTTCAAAAAGTATGTAGATCTAAGTAAGTAAGTCGTTACCTCCATCACAATCCTCCAAACACGCCGAATAATCGAAAGCACGACCACCGTATTCGAGAACGCGGGTGTCTGATGATGATGGTGTCAAAATTCAGAACTCCAGCACTCGTGGCCGGCCTGAAGAGGGTCACTGAGTTCTCTCCCCTGATTGACACCCATTGAGCCACACACTCGGGTTATTTATCAACTACTTGGAGGACGGCACATCCTCACGCATCTTCCTGTTTTATAGCATAGCCTTAAAAAATGGCGTCGGGGGCCTAGTGGTTAGGCTACCGGACTCGTAGTCGTGAGGTTGCGAGTTCGGGGGTTCGAGCCACGGGCCTGACGTTGTGTCCTTGGGGAAGGCACTTTACACGAATTTTCCTCCCTTCACCCAGGTGGGAATGGGTACCCGGCCTTAGACAGCGAAAGATCTCGTCAGTATGTTAGTGTTTAGAGCCTATAAAAAGGCTGCTTGCACTGTACGCTTCCCAGGAAGTTGAGGTTGTTTCACAATGCTCTCAGGTCTGCTGGGGTAATAGTGTAGATTGTGAAGCGCATAGAGCTTGCTGTTGAGCAAGGATTTGTGCTATACAAATGCTATCTATCTATCTATCAATCTATCTATCTATCTATTATTACTATTAATTTGTTCTTTCCCAAGGTGGAGTTTTTGTTGACGTTTTTCCCCATGTTCTTTGTGGATGGATTTGTTTAGCAGACATCATCATCCAGTGCCAGATCTGCGACAGACATCGGCGATCATGGTTCTACTTTCATTCCTTTGCTCGGATGCTCTTAAAAAAGCTACGTTTCCCTGATCTTTCCCAGTTATCCATTTGTTTAGGTTCCCTAAGTAGATTGCTCTTGGCCTACCCCTGCCTCATTTGCCTTCAATTTTGCCAGTGAGAGCTAGATGTTCAAGACACTTATGTCTATTCAGGTGCCCCCAAAACTGCACACATATGAATGTAAAATCTCCGTACACGGAACAAAATTGTAATCGCGTTCAACGGTGCGTCTCGTGTAGGTGCGGTCCGTTCGTTCTACGTCGATGAAAGTAAGTAAGTGTGCTTGGTGCTTGAACAGCAGCAGCTCTTCCCCTAGTCTTGCATTTGTTCGCTGGAAGTAGAGAAGCTAACCTAGTGGGTTTGTTTTCTTTTAAAAATTTTTAGTAAGCGTTTAACGGCGCTGGCACCTGCACACTGTCATTTGAGCGCGCGGGGCACAGTAACCATTTTCAGTTGGTAGGAAATTTTAAAAATTTTACCCGGGTGGCGTCTGAAGCTTACTGTTATTGATTCTGGACCATCAAGAGATCTTTAACGTGCGTAACTTGCACACGGGACTTCCGAGATTTGTCACCATTGTCTGAGAAGGCAAGGTGTAGATCTTTCCTACCAGAAGATTATCATCATCATCTCCCCCCAGGACCAGATGGACGTCTATCAGAGACACCGGCGGCTCTCTACGCTGTGTGTCGGAGATGTTACACAAAGTATCTGACGACACGATTCCTGACGTGACGGTCGACCGTCCCTCTGACGTGACGTGACGTGACGTGACGCGAAGCCCGCCGCGACCAGACCCTGGTGAAGACGGAGTATCTACTCAGACCGTCGTGGTCACTGAACAAACCACTAGGGGTCACCACCGCCATTCACAGCAACATTCCTTTTGGCACTCAATCCAAACTCAACTTCTCGCCCTCCCCTCAAGTATCTGCCCAAAGACGAGGACATAAGCTGGCCAAATACTACTCCCAGGCTGGGTACCCTCCCTTAAGCACCTTCTCCCGGTACAACGATCTTGATAAATCGCGAGGCAAACACTACCGATGTTCACGAAGAAGAAAACTGTGCAGGCTGAGAGCGGCTTCTCGAACGTCCCCCGAGAGGTATAGGGGAAGGACCCACACGAGTGCCTTCTACCCACACAAAGGGGAGACGTCGAAACAGGAAAAACAAATGTGCTAATTATTTCTAAACTGGAACGGACGGAGCGAGCGTGGCTAATTAAAACGCGGAGGAAGGACTTTTTCAGTCTCTTCTGTTTGTTTGAGAGATCTGTGTACTTGAGCGAGGGGG